CCCGAGGACCAGATCACACTCCATGCGTTTCCTACGCACATCTAGACGATGAGGAGCAGATCACACTCCATGCGTTTCCTACGCACATCTAGACGATGAGGACCGGATCACACTCCATGCGTTTCCTACGCACATCTAGACGATGAGGACCAGATCACACTCCATGCGTTTCCTACGCACATCTAGACGATGAGGACCAGATCACACTCCATGCGTTTCCTACGCACATCTATACGATGAGGACCAGATCACACTCCATGCGTTTCCTACGCACATCTAGACGATGAGGACCAGATCACACTCCATGCGTTTCCTACGCACATCTAGACGATGAGGAGCGATCACACTCCATGCGTTTCCTACGCACATCTAGACGATGAGGACCGATCACACTCCATGCGTTTCCTACGCACATCTAGACGATGAGGACCAGATCACACTCCATGCGTTTCCTACGCACATCTAGTCGATGAGGACGGCTCACACTCCATGCGTTTCCTACGCACATCTAGACGATGAGGACCGGATCACACTCCATGCGTTTCCTACGCACATCTAGACGATGAGGACCGGATCACACTCCATGCGTTTCCTACGCACATCTAGTCGATGAGGACCAGATCACACTCCATGCGTTTCCTACGCACATCTAGTCGATGAGGACAGCTTCACACTCCATGCGTTTCCTACGCACATCTAGACGATGAGGACCGCTTCACACTCCATGCGTTTCCTACGCACATCTAGACGATGAGGACCGGATCACACTCCATGCGTTTCCTACGCACATCTAGACGATGAGGACCAGATCACACTCCATGCGTTTCCTACGCACATCTATACGATGAGGACCAGATTCCCACTCCATGCGTTTCCTACGCACATCTAGACGATGAGGACCGTGGATCACACTCCATGCGTTTCCTACGCACATCTAGACGATGAGGACCGCTTCACACTCCATGCGTTTCCTACGCACATCTAGACGATGAGGACCGATCACACTCCATGCGTTTCCTACGCACATCTAGACGATGAGGACCGCTTCACACTCCATGCGTTTCCTACGCACATCTAGATGATGAGGACAGCTTCACACTCCATGCGTTTCCTACGCACATCTAGACGATGAGGACCGGATCACACTCCATGCGTTTCCTACGCACATCTAGACGATGAGGACCAGATCACACTCCATGCGTTTCCTACGCACATCTAGACGATGAGGAACCAGATCACACTCCATGCGTTTCCTACACACATCTAGACGATGAGGACCGCTTCACACTCCATGCGTTTCCTACGCACATCTAGACGATGAGGACCGGATCACACTCCATGCGTTTCCTACGCACATCTAGACGATGAGGACCGGATCACACTCCATGCGTTTCCTACGCACATCTAGACGATGAGGAGCGGATCACACTCCATGCGTTTCCTACGCACATCTAGACGATGAGGACCGCTCACACTCCATGCGTTTCCTACGCACATCTAGACGATGAGGACCGCGATCACACTCCATGCGTTTCCTACGCACATCTAGACGATGAGGACAGCTTCACACTCCATGCGTTTCCTACGCACATCTAGACGATGAGGACTGGATCACACTCCATGCGTTTCCTACGCACATCTAGACGATGAGGACCGGATCACACTCCATGCGTTTCCTACGCACATCTAGACGATGAGGACTGGATCACACTCCATGCGTTTCCTACGCACATCTAGACGATGGACCGCTTCACACTCCATGCGTTTCCTACGCACATCTAGACGATGAGGAGCAGATCACACTCCATGCGTTTCCTACGCACATCTAGACGATGAGGACCAGATCACACTCCATGCGTTTCCTACGCACATCTAGACGATGAGGAGCGGATCACACTCCATGCGTTTCCTACGCACATCTAGACGATGAGGACCGGATCACACTCCATGCGTTTCCTACGCACCAAAACGCACAGAAAGTCGACCTGAGGACCGAGATCACACTCCATGCATTTCCTACGCACATCTAGACGATGAGGAGCGGATCACACTCCATGCATTTTTACGCACATCTAGACGATACTGAGGCGGTAAAGCATCAAAAACGCACGGGAACGCACATGTCCCTATTTACATTGAAGAAATATTATGTTCGCTTTTCTATTCCTTTATTTCAATTTTTTTTTAATTCTATTTGTCGAAATTCGTTTAACTATTTTGGATTTATTTAAACTCATTGCTATTGTACTCCAGAAATTCGGATACATCGGAATCTTCGAATAACGAACAATTCATCCGAATTTCGATTTGAAACGACACAAACCGCACATGCCCGGTCTCACTTGCTCCGCCCCCTCATTAAAGCTATTGGATGACAGATCACGCTTCGTTAGCTCCTTCCCGGCCAATACCATCTGGGGAAAGGAACACCGGAACCCGGAAGTGAAGTTTTTCATGTCGCTTCAGGAAGGGGAGAGCAGCGATCAGACATTCACCGATCTCCCTCCCCCCTGGCCTGCCGGTCCCGGGTCCACCGACGGGCACAACCCCAACAATGAACTTCTCCCATATGGTCCCTTTACATCTGTCAAATACATCATTTTGTTGCATCTGTTTGATCCCGCCAGAAATCTTGTGAGGCGATCTGCCCGTGATGCACTCTTAATGGTTACATTGTTTCCAGCATATCACAGAGGACTACAGAACTCCTCCCCCTATGTTATGGAGAAGAAAAGACGGGGAGCACTGGGGGTGGTGGGGGGAGGTTTGTGCATGAGGATACAGAATGGTATGACCCCCACGGAGGTAGTGGCTTAAAAACGCTGCACCCCCCTGGGCACAGGGCTCCTGCCGGGGACCCCAAAATGCTCAATGTTGTCCATCAGAGGTTGAAAAGCAACCCCTACACCAGGACGCAGGGCTCCTGATGGGGCACTGGTCCTTAAAGGACCAGAGGGACCCCCCTTAAAGGACCTGCCAAAGGTGTTCCGCCATGTCCTTGGTGGAGGGTTGTCCCGAAGAAAGCCCCTTCTGAGTACAGAATGGTCTGACCTTCAAAGAGGAGGGATGCAACCCCTACACCACCCTGGACGCAGGGCTCCTGATGGGGCTTAATGGTCTATCAAGGCTGAAGCCAGAGGGACCCCGCTCCTTAAAGGACCTGCCAAAGGCGATCCTCTGTGTCCTTGGTGGAGGGCTCTCCCAAAGAAAGCCCCTTCTGAGTACAGAATGGTCTGACCTTCAAAGAGGAAGATCCTCAATCCCGGAACCCCCATGGCTCCTGACAGGGGCAAAGCACTCTATGGTCTACCTAGGCTGAAGCCAGAGGGACCCCACTCCTTAGGGACATGCCAAAGCCGGTTCTCCAAGTACTTGGTGAAGGACTCTCCCAAAGAAAGCCCCTTCTGAGAATGGTCTGACCTTCAAAGAGGAGGGATTCAACCCCTACACCACCCTGGACGCAGGGCTCCTGATGGGGCTCAATGGTCTATCAAGGCTGAAGCAAGGGGGACCTGCTCCTTAGGTACATGCCAAAGCCGGTTCTCCAAGTACTTGGTGAAGGACTCTCCTGAAGAAAGACCCTCTCAGCTGGGGAAAGGAAAAAGATTAGAAGGCCACAGTTCCTCCCCCTGAGGTCAGGACAGGCCCCAATAACCTGCACACTCTAGCTTACCTAGCTGAAACCAAGTGGACTCAAATCCTTAGGGACCGGCCAAAGCCAGTCCTCCATATACTTGGTGGAAAGAGAGAGAAAGACCCTCATGGTTGAGGAGATGAAAAAGATTCAAAGGACCCAGATCCTCCCCCCTGATGTCAGGACAGGCCCCCAAAATCTGCACAATCTACTTTACCTAGCCAAAACCAGAGAGACTCCGATCCTTAGGGACCAACCAAGGCCAGTCCTTCAAGTACTAACTGAGGACTCTTCCAAACAGAGATCTCTAGTTGGGGGAGAGGAAAAAAGACCTGTGCAAGCCACAGAGCCTCCTCACAACGTCAAGGCAGGACCTGATAAACCTCATAAGGTCTTCTGGAACTTCTTTATTTTCCTAGATACAGATCACCTCCTTGAACCTTTCATGGCTTAGCTGAGCTCCCCAGTGGGAGGGATAAAAGTCAGAGCTCGGCACTTCTGCTGGAGCCCTAGTCCATTAGGTCTGGAGTATGGAGACTTCTGCCTGACATCTATTCAAATGGTTGTTCTAAAGGTTCTAGTATGGCTGTCTTGGTCAGTATTGTTCTCAGTGGACAGCAGGAGCAAAGCAAAAAGAAAAAGGTAAGATTTGCAAACTTGCTTGAAGAGTAGAAGAGAACCGACAACTGTTTCCCTTTCCTGAAAGACTACATTCTCCACCTTCATTGGGTTTTGTGTCATTTCCGTATTTTGGAAGGTTTTCCTAGATCCTGATCACCTCCTTGTGACTTTTAGGGCCCGGGTAAGTTCTCCAATGGGAGGGAACGTATTCTGAGAATTGCACCTCTGCTGGAGAAGCAGTCTATGGAGCCTGGAATGCAGAGACCACAATTTATCTCCACCCTTTCTCAGGCTAATGTCCATTCAAGCTCTTGAATGGCCACCAGGCCAGGCCATAATTATCCTGCACCCTTGTCTCAGCCCCCACCTTGTCTCCAAAGTTGGCAACAGAAAGGAGGACAGAACTCCTCCTCCAGATCCTGCTCTTTCTGCTTCCAATCTCTGCCCCCCCCCAGCTTCTTCCCGGCAGCAGAACAAAGTATTGGGAGGTGCACTGTGATGTAAGGGATGGTGGAGGACTCTTGACTTCTGATGGCGAGGAGACTCTTGAAATACATTATATTGGCAAAAGTATTGGGCCCGCCGGCCCTTTCCCCACACATGACCTTTAATGGCCCCCCCGTCTTAATCCGTAGGGTTCAATATTGAGTTGCATGCCTAGGGGCTTGATTGTATACACCTGTGTCCATGGAGGGGATTGGAACATGAATCATATGATATGGAGGGGATTGGAACCTGAATCACATGATATGGAGGGGATTGGAACACCTGAATCAGATGATTGGGAAGGGATTGGAACACCTGAATCACATGATTGGGAGGGGATTGGAACACCTGAATCACATGATATGGAAGGGATTGGAACACCTGAATCACATGATTTGGGAGGGGATTGGAGCACCTGAATCACATGATATGGAGGGGATTGGAACACCTGGAATCACATGATTGGGAAGGGATTGGAGCACCAAATCACATGATATGGAGGGGATTGGAACACCAGAATCACATGATATGGAGGGGATTGGAACACCTGAATCACATGATATGGAGGGGATTGGAACACCTGAATCACATGATATGGAGGGGATTGGAACACCTGAATCACATGATATGGAGGGGATTGGAACACCTGAATACATGATATGGAGGGGATTGGAACACCTGAATCACATGATTGGGAGGGGATTGGAACACCTGAATCACATGATATGGAGGGGATTGGAACACCTGAATCACATGATATGGAGGGGATTGGAACACCTGAATCACATGATATGGAGGGGATTGGAACACCTGAATCACATGATATGGAGGGGATTGGAACACCTGAATCACATGATATGGAGGGGATTGGAACACCTGAATCACATGATATGGAGGGGATTGGAACACCTGAATCACATGATATGGAGGGGATTGGAACACCTGAATCACATGATATGGAGGGGATTGGAACAACTGAATCACATGATATGGAAGGGATTGGAGCACCTGAATCACATGATTGGGAGGGGATTGGAGCACCTGAATCACATGATATGGAGGGGATTGGAACACCTGATCACATGATTGAAGGGAATTGGAACACCTGAATCACATGATATGGAGGGGATTGGAACACCTGAATCACATGATTGGGAAGGGATTGGAGCACCTGAATCACATGATTGGGAGGGATTGGAGCACCAGAATCACATGATATGGAGGGGATTGGAACACCTGAATCACATGATATGGAGGGGATTGGAACACCTGAATCACATGATATGGAGGGGATTGGAACACCTGAATCACATGATATGGAGGGGATTGGAACACCTGAATCACATGATATGGAGGGGATTGGAACACCTGTGTCCATGGAGGTGAGGAGAATAGAAAACGGAGAGAAATGTTCTCGGTCCTAGCTGAGCCTTCTGCATCTGTATTTGGGCCTCGGGGGAGGGGGGGGAGGTGGTCTCAGTGGGAAGGAGGGAATTATGGGATCCACACCAGTATATGAAGCCTGCAGTACACGGACCTTTCCTCACCCCCCCCCCCCCCCCCACTCTCCTTTCCTATACCCTCCCGGTAATGAGTGGTGGCACCGGGGAGGACACGTGGCACCGCCTGCCTGTAATGAGAAATGAGTAAACTTAATTCACTGATGAATTATTAAGCCGACTGAAATATTTATGGAAGTTTAGAAGAACAAATTTTCCGGCTCTCGGGAAGTTGCTGTTTGATGAGATTCTTATCAGTATCACGGCTACAACCACGAGTGACACCAGCAGATAAAACAAGCCGGTAACACGTGTCTGCGTGTAGGACAGCTTGTACACGCCGCCGCCGGCCTGGGCCAATCGGGACTCTCCACGCTGAGATGGAGTCAGACGCACAGCGGAGCTTTGTTACCCACAGCACTGGGGGCAGAGCGACGTATCAACACTGTGCCACGCTTTGTGGTATCAGCACTCTGCCACCCTCTGTAATATCAGCATTGTACCACGCACCATGATATCAGCATTGTACCACGCACCATGATATCAGCATTGTACCACGCATCATGATATCAGCATGTACCACGCACCATGAATATCAGCATTGTACCACGCACCATGATATCAGCATTGTACCACGCATCATGATATCAGCATTGTACCACGCACCATGATATCAGCATTGTACCACGCACCATGATATCAGCATTGTACCACGCACCATGATATCAGCATTGTACCACGCATCATGATATCAGCATTGTACCACGCACCATGATATCAGCACTGTGCCATGCTTTGTGGTATCAACACTGTGCCATGTACTGTAATATCAGCACTCTGCCACGCACCATGATATCAGCACTGTACCACGCACCATGGTATCAGCATTGTACCACGCTCCATGATATCAGCATTGTACCACGCTTTGTAATATCAGCACTGTACCACGCACCATGGTATCAGCAATCTGCCACGCATCATGATATCAGTATTGTACCACGCACCATGATATCAGCACTGTACCACGCACCATGATATCAGCACTGTGCCATGCTTTGTGGTATCAACACTGTGCCACGCTTTGTGGTATCAGCACTGTGCCATGTACTGTAATATCAGCACTCTGCCACGCACCATGGTATCAGCATTGTACCACGCACCATGGTATCAGCACGCTGCCACGCACCATGATATCAGCATTGTACCACGCACCGTGGTATCAGCATTGTACCACGCTCCATGATATCAGCATTGTATCACGCTCCATGATATCAGCATTGTACCCACGCTCCATGATATCAGCATTGTACCACGCTCCATGATATCAGCATTGTACCACGCTTTGTAATATCAGCATTGTACCACGCACCATGGTATCAGCAATCTGCCACGCATCATGGTATCAGCACTGTACCACGCACCATGGTATCAGCATTGTACCACGCACCATGGTATCAGCACGCTGCCACGCACCATGATATCAGCATTGTACCACGCACCATGGTATCAGCATTGTACCACGCTCCATGATATCAGCATTGTACCACGCTCCATGATATCAGCATTGTACCACGCTCCATGATATCAGCATTGTACCACGCTCCATGATATCAGCATTGTACCACGCTCCATGATATCAGCATTGTACACGCTTTGTAATATCAGCATTGTACCACGCACCATGGTATCAGCAATCTGCCACGCATCATGGTATCAGCACTGTACCACGCACCATGGTATCAGCATTGTACCACGCTCCATGATATCAGCATTGTACCACGCACCATGGTATCAGCATTGTACCACGCACCATGATATCAGCATTGTACCACGCACCATGGTATCAGCATTGTACCACGCTCCATGATATCAGCATTGTACCACGCTTTGTAATATCAGCATTGTACCACGCACCATGGTATCAGCAATCTGCCACGCATCATTATATCAGTATTGTACCACGCATCATTATATCAGTATTGTACCACGCATCATTATATCAGTATTGTACCACGCTCTGTGGTATCAGCACCTGTTGTTATGCGACACTGCATTGGAAATGTAGATTTGTGGTTCATTTTTTCAGTTCATCTCGGTGTCTCTGCAGTCCATTCGAAATAAGTGTGCCACCTTACCACAACGCAGATATTATTGCCACGCGTGTCCTCATTTATAGTCTGTGGCTCCAAACTAGACAATACAGTCCAGAAAGACTCAGGGCCCCTGGATCTGAGGGGCCCGCAGGCAGTGGCACCCTGCGATGTAGCAGAATCCAAGGCGACGGGAAGGGGCAGAGACTGAGGCACTGCACTGCGGGGGATCCATACGGCACGTTCGCTCTATACTGGATGAAGCAGATCGATGGTCCGTTAACCTTTTACTAATGATCATTTCACAGGACCAGGTGCTTTCACTGTGCGCATGACTTCAGTGGCTCAGCCCACTCATAAATCACCTCATTGCGGGGCTGGATTGTGGAGAATGTCGTAGTCCGCCGTGTCCGCCACAAATGGGGGCCTACGAGTATATTATCGAGATCTATCACCGGGAACGGGGGAGGGGAGGGACTGTCAGGGAGCGGGGGAGGGGAGGGACTGTCAGGGAACGGGGGGACTGTCAGGGAGGGGAGGGGAGGACTGTCTGGGAACGGGGGGGGGAGGGACTGTCAGGGAGCGGGGGAGGGGAGGGACTGTCAGGGAGCGGGGGAGGGGAGGGACTGTCAGGGAACGGGGGAGGGGGAGGGACTGTCAGGGAACGGGGGAGGGACTGTCAGCACCAAATGCCGGCTTCTTCTAGGTGAGAAAATAAAAAGGAAGAAAAGTCGTTTCTGAGAATTTGTGTCGTTTTTCTCCTTCAATTGAATAAAGAAACCGCCGGAGATGAGATTCTGGTGAGACCTTTGAGAGCCGGAGAGAGTCAGCTATACGAGGAACCAACACAGGACAATTGTGGGACCAAAATATATCTACACTGTATGACCAAAAGTATTACCCCCCCCCCCCCCCAAATCATGTGATTCTGGTGTTCCGATCCCCTCCCAATCATGTGATTCAGGTGTTCCAATCCCCTCCATATCATGTGATTCAGGTGCTCCAATCCCCTCCCAATCATGTGATTCAGGTGTTCCAATCCCCTCCATATCATGTGATTCAGGTGCTCCAATCCCCTCCCAATCATGTGATTCAGGTGTCCCAATCCCCTCCATATCATGTGATTCAGGTGTTTCCAATCCCCTCCATATCATGTGATTCAGGTGCTCCAATCCCCTCCATATCATGTGATTCAGGTGTTCCAATCCCCTCCCAATCATGTGATTCAGGTGTCCCAATCCCCTCCATATCATGTGATTCAGGTGTTCCAATCCCCTCCATGGACACAGGTGTATACAATCAAGCCCCCAGGGCGGGGTCAGCGCATGCTGAAGCGCACAGTGCGCAGAAGTCACCAACTGTCTGCAGAGTCAATAGCTAAAGACCTCCAAACTTGGTGTGGCCTTCAGATGAGCCCAACAACAGTGCGTAGAGAGCTTCATGGAATGGGTTTCCATGGCCGAGCAGCTGCATCCAAGCCTTCCATCACCAAGTGCAATGCAAAGCGTCGGATGCTGTGGTGTAAAGCACGCCGCCACTGGACTCTATAGCAGGGGAGACGTGTTCTCTGGAGTGACCAATCACACCTCTCTTGTCTGGCAATCCGATGGACATGTCTGGGTTTGATGGTTGCCAGGAGAACGGTACTTGCCTGACTGCATTTTGCCAAGTGTAAAGTTTGGTGTAGGGGGGATTATGGTGTGGGGGTGTTTTTCACGGGTTGGGCTTGGCCCCCTAGTTCCAGTGATGGAAACTCTTAAGACGACATTTTGGACAATTTCATACTCCCAATTTTGTGGGAGGAGTTTGGGGATGGCCCCTTCCTGTTCCAACATGACTGCGCACCAGTGCACAAAGCAAGGTCCATAAAGACATGGAGGAGCCAGTTTGGGGTGGAGGAACTTGACTGTCCTGCACAGAGTCCTGACCTCAACCCCATAGAACACCTTTGGGATGAATTAGAGCGGAGACTGCGAGCCAGGCCTCCTCCCCCGACATCAGTGCCCCTCCCCCGACATCAGTGCCTGACCTGACAAATGTGCTTCTGGAAGAATGGTCCAACCTTCCCATAGACACCCTCCTAAACCTTGTGGACGGCCTTCCCAGAAGAGGCAAAGGGCGGGGCCAACTCAATATTCAACCCTATGGACTAAGACTGGGGGGCCATTAAAGGTCATGTGCGTGGAAAGGGCGGGGCCAACTCAATATTGACCCCTACGGACTAAGACTGGGGGGCCATTAAAGGTCATGTGTGTGGAAAGGGCGGGGCCAACTCAATATTGAACCCTACGGACTAAGACTGGGGGGCC